CCGATAATATTCCTTTCAATGTGTTACTTCGTCTATCAGTGGCTTACATTGTGAGATTGGTAGTAGGACCCGAGGCAATCTCTTGCGATGAAACTAACAAAGGTGTTACATACAGAATACAGGAAGGACTCGAAAGTACTGGCTGTACCATAGTCTTTCTTATTCAGTATTATTTCTATATGGCCAGCTCAATTTGGTGGGTGATTTTAACTTTAACTTGGTTTCTGGCCGCCGGCATGAAATGGGGCTACGAAGCCATTGCAGCGCATAGTAGCTATTTTCACCTAGTGGCGTGGGCTATACCGGCCGTGAAAACTATTGTAGTGCTTGTAATGAGAAGAGTAGATGGAGACGAATTGACTGGAATGTGCTATGTGGGGAATCAAGATTCTAAAGCGCTGCTTGGATTTGTTTTAATCCCCCTTTTTTGTTATTTTATAATCGGCACCTCGTTCATCCTTGCCGGGTTTGTTTACTTGTTTCGCATTAGGAAGGTGATGAAAATTGGTGGGAAGAACATAGAAAAACTGGAAAAACTAATGGTTCGCATTGGGGTATTTTCTGTGTTATACACGGTGCCAGCCACGTGTGTAATCGCTACGTACTTTTTCCAATACATTAACATGGAAGACTGGGAACATCAAGCAAAATACGAAAATGACTGTGTTGACGACCAGTGTTTGCTAGCGGAATCAATACCAAATGTTCCCGTTTTAGTTGTAAAGATTTTCATGTTATTAGTCGTGGGAATTACCAGTGGTATGTGGATATGGAGCTCAAAAACTGTGAATTCGTGGCAAAGATTTTTTAATAGGAGGTTTCATCGAAAGAAACAAATTACATTGAATTACAAGGTACCGATTGTACCGCATTCGCCGCCGAGATATTCACCGCCGAGATCCAAATATACTATTAGCCAAGGAAGCTACATACCCGCTGGTTACAACACCCCGGTCTAGGCAAAGAACGTTTATTCGTTAAAAATGAATAAAGAGACGAGGATAATGCCGGTCCAAGTTGTTGGAAATTTGACACCAGTCCCTGACTTTTAAGCTGGCAGAACTACCTAGCCTTGTGTGTGCTAGTGTTTGGTTAGACTGACCTAGCCACTGTTCAAAGGCCGCATTGTTTGTCACAACATTTAGGCTGAGTAACCAACTGAGGCAGAATGGAACACGGAGGACACAAAGATGTTTTATGTATAAGAGAGATCACGTAAAACGTCAGCATATCAGCTAAAGTCTCGGCATTGAGTCTTTACAGCTGTTTTGTTTTACAAAAGAAGGCAGCTTTCAGCCTAAGATAGCGATATTCATGGCTTTGACTTGGACTACAGTGACTAAATAATAAGGAACACTGGACTGAAAAGCTTTCTGATTAGTGACTGTGTGTCAATACAGAGTTAATAGTTAAACATGCTAACTGGTTACTTTGCGATAAAATATGGCGTATTGCCGTGGTGGAAACATCAAAACACTACTTAAATATCTGCCACTACTAGTTTTCTATAACATATGTCAGAAATGACCAGTTGTATGGCGTCAATTTAACTTTCAACTGTTGTTAAGTTTTTATGCGAACTTTTTGCATATCCGTCGATTTGACCTTATTGTTGAGCCTTTCAGCTATTTTTATAGCCTGTTTTATAGCCCAATGGCGTTTATTTGCACTGTTCAACCAGTCAAGTACACCGTGTTATATTGTACAAAAATCTGACTTTTTCTTGTTTTTAAATCAAAACGATGTTAAATAGTTGATATATGTTCTATTTTCAGGTATCTTTCAAACAAAAAGTATTGTGAAAGGTTTTTTGGTTGAATGAGTTGGCTGTGACGCGTTTATTTGATGCATGGCCAAACACATGCAATAAACTGACCAGCACGTAATTTAAAGCTCTGTCCAAAATGTCTTTTTTTTCATAAATAGTTGCCTTCCATGTCTTCTCTATTTATCTAAATCTGTTTTACAAACTAATTCCATTCTCTTTCGTCAAATGCCTCCTTCTGTATTCGCTGACAGATTTAAATTTTTTGGTTGATGGGCGAGTGTCAGTGGGGCATATGAGGTCACGACGAGTATTTTTCTCGTCGGTACTCGTATATTGCCATCACTTGGGAAACGCCGGAGAGCCAAGACGACAAATTGTTAAATTAAAAGCGAGGTAAAGTGAATTGTTTTCCTGTAGCAAACGGGGTTTGGAAGACAGCTTTAGCAATTAGATTACCCTGCTACGCACTGAAAGCCCTTAAAATCGACAACTTGATATAGTTGCTTAATCGGAATACATTGGGTGTTGAGACACGTTATGTTGCTTGAGTTCTGTGCTTTTAAGTCTGGCTGCAGCCTCTATGATCCACTGGGGAGAACTCATTGACGCCTCAATATCGAATCTCTTCTCTTTTGCATTGTCTCATAAACTCGACAAACCATTTCAAGTAGATACTGGGCTTGAAAAAATAATAATGAAATTTAGAACTACAGTGAACACATAATTATAAATAAGTCCGGTTTTATAAAGCGTAAAATCAATGAACTTGATGTTGTCATAAGAGCCAGCAACGCGGCCTTTACGGAACGCATTCGAATTGTTTTACAATTTCAAGCCTGTTAGACTGTAAACATTTTAGTGTATCTGGTCGATACTCCCTCGGTGTGTACGCGTTGGATTATGTGATTTCGGTGGGCACAGACTGACGCATGATACGATGTACAGAGCATGCGCTTAGAAATACTGCTACGTACTATTAATTCGATTGGTATTGTTAATGTTAATGACAAATCATAATCCAGTGTATATGAATATTCAGTACCCGTCCTAACTACCATACTTCGCCATATAGATTGCCGGTGAATTGACTCGGAGTATAGTCCTGTATTATGATCTCCGTATTGGCCGCCGCGGATGATCCATGGTTAATGAAGGAGGGCAACAGACAGGATTATACTCGGGGTTACCGCTTCAGCCGGTGCGTCGACAATATGCACCGATACCCACCGCTTCAACGCGCACAATTATGAGGTTTTAATTATTTATTTCAAATGTGAGCTATAATGGTTGCAGGTGTGACTAGAGAGACAAATAGGAATTGCATAATAAGTATTTGTAAGAAAAACAATATATAACACCCGGTAAAACATGTTCGAACTATCCACTCCAATGGAATTAATAACGGATACGTAATAAGTGAAAGTGTGGGGCATAATGCAAATTCCAAACCTTCTAAATCTAATGTTATTCCATTGTGATGTCCTCGATAATTTTCGTGACAATTGTTACAATAAAACTGTACTGAGAATTCCTAAATTTTCGCGTAGTTGTTGGGGGTTGTGTCAAACTTAAAATGGAATTTCTACATCAGAATGTTTGTATTTTATCTCAAATTCGACCTGGCTTACCCGCAGTACGAGTTTGTTTTAAACTCGCTGTATTATCTTTAAGGTCATACTCATTAATGCAATACGTTGTCTCGTTAAATTGTAACCAAACTACGGAATTATATTAACTGCGCATGCTCATGGCCTAAAATAATCTGGACTGTACCCGGTTACCATACAAGATAGTTACTAATTGCCCCCAAGTGTAATCGCAACACCTGTACATTCCGAAAAATTCAACTATCCAGTTTCAGTTGACGCTTTATGATTCATATTGCTTTCAGTTATTCATTATTCGTCCACAATATTACTTGTAAATTATCCTCTTCTGAAAATACATGTTCGACCATTGATCCGCTTAATATTTGCTACAGTATAGGGCCGTTTGACCTTTGACCTCTAAGTGTTCGTTACAATACTTATCTGGCAATTATTTTTATTAGGACTTTAATATTTTTTTATTGTTTTGGTTACTGTATCCATCATTGGTAGGAAAATATTATTCTTGTCGGAAAAAAACGTGTACTGGAAAATTTTGGCCTGAACGATTCCTGTATGTTGAGTTGGCAGCGTACGAGGATGTCGCTGTATTTATTAACGTTCGAGGATGTCTGTTTTTTATGAGACCAGTAACCTTCGGGTTTTATTGTGTGTCACATGCTAGTTGTGTATGATGTCATCCTTGACTCACATTAAACGGATACATTATCATCGTTTGTTTAACATACACAATTTATATTAATGCCAAGAAAGTTTGAGTTGAAAATATTAATATTTTTAATTGTGTCAGTATTATAATTAGAAAGTTAATTATTACAGATATTAATTATTATTATCTTCATCAGAATGGAAATAATGTAAACTTGATCTGAGTCAATTTCGCGTGTACTGAACTTAGACCGAAGAAAAGGCGAATTTGAATAATTGTAGATATAACAATCGCACTACTAATAATATATGCCCGTAAGCTTAAATAAGTTTAATGTGTTTTTTTAAATCAAAATTTTATATTGTTTCATTTTTAAGCTTATTATTTATAGGCAGTCGACATTTCTCGACACGGCGATCTCGTCGGAGATATTATGTGTATTAAATGTGTAACTTAGTTCTGTATCTCAAGCAGTGGAAATAACGGAAATTTACGATTTGCATTCTTTTACGACCTTTTTTTTACGACTCCATCTTTCATTTACAACCTTCATTTTAGCGAATTGACATTTTGGGCAAGGTTTTACGACATCGTTACGCAGGAATGTATTTTACGTGTTGTTTGTGTCTGGATTTCGGGAAGAGAACTCACAAATTTAGATGCGATATGCTGATTCGTGGCAAGTACGTGATGTAATAATGTTTAGCATTGCGAGTACGTGAAGACAATAAATCAGTACTGATATATACTGCATATGACGCTGAAGACTTCCCGCTGAACGAAACACTTCCTTAGACTCCTTGAATGTCCAGTCCCGCCCAAATGAATGACACCTCCATAAACAGCCAGAAAGACAATCTCCAAACAGGAGTAACATGTTACGGACAATAGCTATGAACGCAAACATATTGCGATTGTGAGTCGTTTTTGAGACAACATCACTCTAAAACAAAGTGAATGTGTCAAGTACTCGTTGCAAACTCACGTGCCCCCACAGAGTGCTTTTCTACGCAGAGAAAAGGTTTATCAAATAGCACACACACATGTATTTTTTACTTGTGGATGTAGTCGTAACTGACTGTTTTAATGACTTGTGGTTCTACCACGTGGCTATCTCGGACGAAATTAGCTTCGTTCAATGCAAATTAACTCAGTTAATTTTCGGTTTTCATTAACTCAGGTTATGTGTTAGTGTCCGGAGAATTGTATGCAATGAAAATGTGACGTCAAACTCGACAGCCCAGACAGACATAATGTCGTATAATTTACTAATTATATCGGAAATACATCTTTTGAATTGTTAATTTCTGGAATGAGATCACTGACCCTGTGCTGTAATGACCATTAAAGTCAGACTCTTTTGCAAAGCATGACAATGAGATTTTTCTGAGAAAACTTGAAAATGGACAGTTGTAAATTGTGTGTGATACAACGCGTATGAACACACCACGTTGGCGACTGGATGTTGCGATGAGTTGGCGAGCATTTGAAAACACATCATTACTATCATCATACCTTCTATGCTACCAGTAACTGTGCATGCCTATTGTAATCATAGCATTTATGAAGTGTTACTGAGTTGATATTATTGACTGTTATAATTTATATTGACAAACTTGTACGCAGGTAATTGATAAGATTTCAACAGTCCGCGAAAGTCGAGTTCTTTGAACAGCTCGCGACATAGTTGTAGACACGGCACCAAATATAGTCACTTTTTCGGTAGAGAATATTCGCTTCAAATTAACGACATGAACTACTTCATAATTCAACAACATTGTGTAAATATGTTGACATACAATGTATAATATTCAGTACACGTACTTAAATCCATGACTATTTAGAGTGAACGCCCCGTTACAATAATAACAACATCGTTGCGAACATAGGAGAGGTTTGGTTGACCCCGAAGTTCAGATTTGAGTATAAAACTATTGTAGCGTTTACCCCAGAGATATGTCTACACGGCAATTGTGTTGGCATCCCTGCAGCTGAGCCGAGACAAATCTAAGTGGGATTTGTTTGTAACGCCCTGAGAGGTGGCTTAAGTCCTACAAAGAAATAGTACTCAGTCAGATCTTCTATTTCAGTACCGTAGTTAATACCCACCAACTTGCAAGCTACACACTTCATATCGAAAATTCGCGCCAAAAATCTTGTACCAGTACCAGTCGTTATTTTGTATGATTTTTACTGTTGTTGAATAATCCGATGTAATTTACTAATAATGCAAACAAAAATCGAACCTTGCTTTGGC